ATGTTCACATCTTCAAATCTTTATACCTAAAATTACAGGAGGTAGTCGCAGGTCTGTAAAGTTTCTTTAGCTTTACGGCTGCTACTTCTTACTTTCCTCACTAAAAGTAATGCTGCACCTTTATCATGCAACACTGTGTGTGCTAAAACACGAGTGTGGAGCGGAGACTTTGCCCATTTCCTTTAGCTTGTAAACAACAAATCGCTCATACGCCAGCGATTCGGTGCTTATTTTCCTAGTGGAGACCCAACTAGCATGGTGCACCCAGTGTTCTTGGAATACTCTAGTAGACATGCTACTGTACGATTACTGTGCAGCTCTTCCTCCTCTCATCCTCACAAGTGCGAAACAGAGCAGGAGCACATTTTCACATTGTTATACTGGATAAGCAATTAGCGTTAACAAGTGACAGGTGTGGGGAGGCATGTCCAAAGGGAAAAACATCTTAAAGGAACAGTTTGGATTTTTTTAAGTGGAGCTGTATCAGGTACCTATCTAAAGTCAGTGCATTACCTATAGGTAATACCTTTAGGCAGTTAGTAGGCCACCAGATTGAAGTGTACAGCAACATAAACAAAGCAATGTATTGCTGTGGACAGGGACAGCTGCAAAACACAAGTTAGCCACCTAAAGAAAATCAGTATTGATTTGAGTGAATGCTATGTTTAGCTTACTGTTGTTTTTACTTTCCGACGGGGAACGGAAGCCATTATCTCTGCTCTCTTCAAAGCCACCAGACTCCTTTGAGGAAAACAGTAATTTTGCCTCCCAGAACACAGGAGCTGCTGGTTTACTCCTGACTCGATGGGTTAGTTTCATGTGTTATTGTGTGACTTTTACATTTTAGAGGGTTAGTTCACCAAAGTCACACAAAAACACAAGCAAACTACCGATTGAGGAAGCGGTTGACCTGCGACTCTTGTGTTCAGTGATCTAAAATTATTCTCAAAGAGTCTAGTGGCTCTGACGAGAGCGTGGATGTGCAACTAAAGCCAATAACGGCGTTTTCATCTGAACGGGCCGTCTGCGGCAAGGTAAAGCGGTGAAAATATTCTAAATCAGTGTTTCCCAACTGGTGGGTCGTGGCCCAAAAGTGGGTCTTGGGTCCATTCTGTATGGACCGCAAGTGACACGTGAACGTGAATGTGTCAAGGTTGTAAAAAACACACTTTATTTTGAAGTGCAGTGAATATCCGGCACAGAGCTTTTAATTTGAAGTGCTGTTTCCTGCTGTAGAGTGAATGAATAACAGACAGCTACTTGACAGAGACAGCAAACTAGCTCGATGACATGGCCAAACACAAGTATGACACTGAATATATTAAACTTTATGGAACTTGAACTAATGACTGAGGACAAATCTGGACCCCGTGGCTGGAGCAGTTGGGAACCACTGTTCTAAAAATAGCATACAGCTATACTGATATGATTTTTATTTAGGTGGCTAAAATATGTTTTTGCTGCAGCCCCTGTCCACATCGCTTAGATTCTATGGTGGTACTCCTGCTCCCCAACATCTGCTGTAGGTAATACACTGACTATGGATAAGTAGGTTACTCATATAACCCCACTTCTAAAAGTACAAACTATCCCTTTAAAATCTACGCTACATTTATTTTTCCTTTAATTGTTTTTTGTTTAAAGATAATTTTGAGGGTTTTTTTTGCCTATATTTAAAAGGACAGAACTGTGGCAAGGACATGGCCTTTGTACATGGGGCGCCTGCTCTACCAGGTGAGCTAGTGGGTGCCCCAGCTACATGATCTCTATGTAAATATGGACAATATCACAATATCAGATACGGGAAAAAATGATCAGAATGCTTAAAAAATTACACATGAAGGACATGATCTTTTACTGTCTCATACAATTTTCCTGAGGACATGAATGTGGACCAAGAAAAAAAAAAATCACATTTTGTATCTGTAAGCTATTGCATGTCATTTTATTGTTGTTTATTCATCTCAGGTTGCAACATTTCCATGTCTTCTTGCTTTTCAATTATGGCTATTGTTTCCTTTATTTTGGAAAATGTATCCTGTCCCTTTAAGAACACTTGTGCCTCTTTCACACCTGGTTCATGTTACTAATTAAAGGTAGATGCTCTGTTTTGCACTCTTAATGAACTGAGAGGTTGTAAGGGCGTATTGAGGCAATCTGCATTTAAATATGCGCTAACAACACATTTTATATCAGTGCTTTTGAGTCTGAGTGTCATTTGTGGGAGGTGTGTGTGTTTCTGTACTCACGTGAAGTGGCCTTGAAAATTTTGGATGAATGTCTATCTGCAAAAATCATTAAAACGACATTTGGTTTAATGGGTTTTAAATGGTTTTGATGGAGGCCAAATTAGACAAGGTGTCACTGTGTTCACTTACAGTGTACTATCAGAGGTCAAAGCTGTCGTCCCTATGTGCAGTTCACACTGAAAATACGAGATAACGCAAGTAAATAAGTATATAAATGTTTATTTCAAAACATGAGAATGATCATTATGATAAAATTTAATAATATATGCTGATACAATTTTTATAAGCGGTAAATTTAAAAGTATTTGTTTAAATATCCAGTACCACAAGCTCTTTCTCATTAAAGACCTAAAATATATATTTTTTTCCTCATAGACACCATGGCATGTGAACACAACCACTTCACACCACAGCAAAATTTGAAACGTTTAAATGTACATCAGTACCATCGTAAAGGTCTGTCTCAGTAACATCAGCGCCTGTGTCTCAGACCTGCGGGCCGCTGAAACTCCCAACACCTGTTTAAAGTGTTAAGAGACTCGCACAAGATTGATTATCACAATACTGTTAGGTGACATCGCATTGTATAGTGCTGGAGTGATTTCATAAAGGCCTTATTTCCCCAGGTCCTCTGCTGTTGCATGCAGCACAAAATGCAGCTTCAATCTGTCACATTTATTTAAGTGGTTTTGTTGGAATAAAACCACAGCCCATAAACTCTCCACTGTCCATAGCCGCGGGAAGCAGGGATGCAGCTCCCTCTGGTGGTTGAGTGAGTAACTGAACGAGAGTCCCAATATAATCAGCCCCTGAAGAGCCGTCTCTCTGCATCGTAAACATGTGGCATGAACTTCACTTTGTTTTAGTCTAAAAGCAAAACAGATAATGCTTTATCAGAGTGGAAATGGTGTAAAAGTGTACATCTCTTTTAATGATTAATAGATTAAAAAACACAGCATGAGGTCCCACTCATCAGAGCTCAGTCAGATCTGCAGGGAGCAAATTGTAATCAGTGTGAATTCATGCGCAATACAGTCACTGAGCGCAAAATCGTTGCCAGACTCATGATAGGTTGCTTCTGTAATGAATATGGTGAACAATTTCATTCCAAATTGATGGCACTTGTTTACTGGCAAGAGCTGCAAATCCGAGCAGAGATGCAACTGGTTTGAGCTGAGGAGGGCGGATGATTAAAATGTTCGGTTAAATGACTTTGAGATTGTAATTTCGTTCTGTAGTTTTGCATGGCTTCCTATAAACCAGCCCAGGCGCCAGAAGAAAACGTTGGCATTGAATGTGTCTGCAAACCACAGATATGTTACATTTGGATGTTTCATACAAATCATATCAACATTTCTAAAGTGATGTAGTGCTGACTATATGTATATGAGCTGGCTGCGTCATTGGGAGGTGGAGGGGATGGTGGTTGGTGTGACACCTTGGTGAGATGGCTGCGGAGCTGCAGACTGCTGTTCGAGACCAACAAGCCACAAAATCAGATGTTTTTTAGTGAGATGTGCCATTTCCAGCAGCGATTGTGGCACCAAAACTGGGTGTTTATAGCGAGACTAAATGACATTTGCAGCTGTGACTGTGGCACCAAAATTGGGCGTTTTTAACAAGATGTGCCATTTACAGCAGTGATTGTGGCACCAAATTTGCATGCTTTTCAGCAAGACATCATGCCATTTCCAGCAGCAACTGTGGCACCAAAATTGGGTGCTTTTTAGCAAGACATTTCTGCATTTCCAGCAGCGCTTGTGGCACCAAAACTTGGAGTTTTTAGCAAGACTTCGTGACATTCGCAGCTGTGATTGTTGCACCAAAACTGGGTGATTTTTAGCAAGACATTGCTGCATTTCCAGCAGCAATTGTGGCACCAAAACTAGGTGTTTAAAAGACTTCATAGCATTTGCAGCTGTGATTGTGGCACCAAAATTGGGTACTTTTTAGTGAGACATTGCTGCATTTCCAGCAGCAACTGTGGCACCAAAACTGGGTGTTTTTTAATGAGACGTGCCATTTCCAGCAGTGATTGTGGCACCAAATTTGGGTACTTTTCAGCAAGACATCATGCCATTTACAGTGGCAATTGGGGCACCAAAACTTTAGCGAGACTTTGCTGCATTTCCAGCAGCGAATATGGCATCAAATTTGCGTGCTTTTCAGTGAGACATCTTGCCATTCACAGTGGCAACTGTGGCGGCAAAATTGGGTATTTTTAGTGAGACATTGCTGCATTTCCAGCAGTGATTGTGGCACCAAATTTGCGTGCTTTTCAGCAAGACATCATGCCATTTACAGTGGCAATTGGGGTACCAAAATTGGGTGTGTTTTAGCGTGATTTTGCTGCATTTCCAGCAGCGAATATGGCATCAAATTTGAATGCTTTTCAGTGAAACATCGCAGCATTTCCAGCAGCGATTGCGGCACCAAATTTGCGTGCTTTTCAGCAAGACAATATGCCATTTACAGTGGCAATTGGGCCACCAAAATTGGGTGTGTTTTATTGGGTGTATTGGGTGTCTAGCAAAACATTGCTGCATTTCCAGCAGTGAATATGGCATCAAATTTGCATGCTTTTCAGCGAGACATCATGCCATTTACAGTGGCAATTGGGGCACCAGTTCTGGTACTTTTTAGTGAGACATTGCTGCATTTCCAGCAGTGACTGTGGCACCAAAACTGGGTGCTTTTTAGTGAGACTTTGCAGTATTTCCAACAGCAATTGTGTGGGTGTTTTTTTTTTTGTGAAACATCCAGCATTCCCATCTGTGACTGTGGCTCCACAACCTGGTAATTCAAGCCAAAACATGATCTTTATTTAACCGTAAGTGTTTTTTGTGCCACGTTAACCACAGCACTGTCCAAATGGAAGGTTTCAACACATCAGCTACATAATTATGTAAAATTGTTACATATCCATGTTTGCAGAGACATACAGTGCCAACATTTATTCTAATGATTGGGTTGTATAGAGATGGTGTTGGACTGCTGAATTATTACTAACAGTCTGAAGCAGATGTAGACCACCATCTTTGAAATTATGCCACCCAGACATTAACTGCAGCACTTTGGAAAATGGAAACAGTTTTGAGCACTGACACCCAAATAGCACCTGCATCTCTGACCTGTGTTGCTGCAGCTACTCATGGACACATTAAATGCTAATGTAGTACTACAAGTAATGAAATGGGTCAGCTGGGTTTCCACCCAAAAACTCATTACACAGGAAAGGGCTGTGATTTCAATTAAAGGGGTACTGCAGTGAATTATTATTATTGCACTTCATAAAGTTGGGGTAAAGTCCTGACTTTTTGTCTCTAGTATGTGTCACACTCCAAAAATGCTGGATACATTTCCCCATAGCATCTTTTTATTACAACCAAGCTTTGAAAAAGTTGGAACACTGTGTAAAACGAAAATAAAGAGAAGATATTTAACTTTATTGTTTTTTTGTAAATACACACTCATTCTGAATTTGACGCCTGCAGCATGTTCCAAAACACTTGGGACAAGGGCAACAAAAGACTGGGAGAGTTGTGAATTGCTCATAAAACACCAGTTTGGAACACTCCACAGGTAAACTGGTTAAATGTTGACAGGTTATTATCATGATTGGAAATGAAAGGGGCATTCTCGAAAGGCTGAGTTGTTCACAAGCAAGGATTACGATTCTGGGGAAAACTGTGTGGACAAATAGTCCAACAACGTTTCTCAATGCAGAGATGCAACAAATTTAGGGATCCCACCATCTACAATCCACACTATCATCATCTTCATAGATTCAGAGAATCCTCTCACGTAAGGGGCAAGGCTGAAAACCAACAGTGAACACCTGTGACCTTCGACCTCCCAGACGGCACTACATTAAAAATCGGCAATGTATAAACGCTCTTAGTGCACAAGCTCAGGGACACTTTGGAAACTAGTGTCGCTAAACACAATTTGACACTACATCTCCAAATGCAAGTTAAGACTCTACCATGCAAAGTGAAAGCACTGACGCAAAGTGGAAATGTGTGCCGTGGTCTGACAACTGTTACTGGAAATCCTGGATGTTGTGTCCTCCAGGCTACAAAGTAAAAGGCATGGGGGTGTGTAAGTGCCCGTGGCATCATGGTAACTTGCACATGTGTGAAGGCACCATGGATGCTGAAAGGTACATACAGGTTTTGGAGCAACATATGCTGAGAATAGAGAGTAGGGGAAAAGTCAGCTGGCCACTAAGCTAATTTATACAATGTAAAATGCCATAGGCTTGTGCTAAAAACATTAGCATGTTGTATTTGTGGGGAAAATGTGTCCAGATAAAGACAAGTGTTTGTCTGTGAATGCTGCGACTTATAGTGAAGCTGATTTGTGCACTTGTGTTCAAAATTGTCGGTATTAAGCCATGTTCAATATATGTTTTGGGTGAGTTTTCACTCAGCTAAACCTTACAGCATTTCACAGAAATCCCGCTGCCGACTAGTGTTTTGGAGGTGTAACTGCAGAGTGACACAGACACACCACCGCACAAGTATAAATGCTCACATTTGTGTCGGCTACGTGTGTAGGCTCTGCATAGACCTGACACACGAGTATGACTCCATCCTCAAAGTGGCGGCACTAGACTGGCCTGCCTGCAATTGTGACCGCCCTCCCATTGACAAAGAGTGGCGCAGTATTTCGCCCAAAATACGACAACTGAGACACTGCGCTGCTGAGCAACTGAAGTCATTTATCAAGCACGAATGTGAAAGAACTTCACTTTCAAATCGTCAACAACTAGTGTCCTCAGTTCCCAAACACTTATTCAGGGTTGTTAAAAGGAAAGGTGATGTAACACAGTCGTAAACATGCCCCTGACCCAACTTTTTTGCAAAGTGTTGCAGGCATCAAATTCAGAATGAGCGTATATTTTTTTGTATTTGACTGAATATGTCCAAAAAAAAAAAAAAATCACTGCACTGCATAGATTTATTAACTTTTACACAGTGTTCCAACTTTTGTGAAACCAGGGTTGCAGACTTGATGTGGAGCAGGGTTGAGCCAACTGAACAGCACATTTATGTTCAAGAACAAAGTTCATAGAAAGTCGTATAAGTAACTATGTGTCAGCAGGGGTTACTTTCTCAGACCTGAGGCAAATTTCAGAGCCACAGCAGACATTACACTACTGTTTTCACGAGCTGAGCTATACCACTCGTGACTACTGGAGCTGCCCTTTATGAAAGACTGTTTGTGACTCTGTGTTTTTCCCATAACGACACAAGGTAACAGTGAGGACAAAACAATTTAAATGGCACGGTACTTTGAGTTAACTAAACCTCGCAGCCAAAAAATGGCCTGGAGGTGTGTATTTGGGTCTAAATAGCTCGAATCCATTCCACTACAGACAGTATAACAAACCGTTTTCCATTAATGTGCACTTTCCTGCCTTAATATCCCCTTTTTATGCAGAACCCATCAAATCACAGGGGAAAATTACCATCTCAAAGCGTCTGTTTGGGAAGGGCTCAGTTTGCAAAACACCTTTTTTAGTTTTGACACATTTTACGAGGGTGGGATTTTACTATAAAAATATCCTAAAAATGCGTTTTTGACAGCGGTATTAGTGTTGTAGTGTTGATGGCGGGACAATACACACGAGGATAAAAGGCATCAACACACAAAAGGCTTTTTCCTACTTTTTGGGATTTTTAGGTGCATTGATTTGGGGCTTAAACACTCTCTTCACAGTTTCCTTCCTTTGTCATTCACATTTTAGGGACATTATTATTTAAAATATATAGGTTTTTGCATCTGTATCTCTATATTCGTTTGCTGTTTTGTCACATTGGGCTAAATTTGATTCTTCTGTGCTCTTGGCGCTGATGTCTCTATGTGCTTGTAGGCCTCTTTCACCAGTGTAATGGGCCTCTTTTTCATTCAGGTGATATTTGTGTTTGTCAGACAGCTGTGGCTGATGGTTCCTCACCTGAACCACTTGTCTCCTCAGTTGGCACAGTGATTTTAGCATTGTCAGATTACCCATGGTCCCATGGCTAATCCCAGTTTTCTGATCTGGTTCTTGGAAGTATACTGAGATCTTGCTGAAGTCGTATTGGCTTTCATTCCCTCAAGATTACATTGCTTCTTTTATGATTTCATGGATAATGTAGACATTTTACGAGTCCTTGAATCGCAGTTAAAGTTTTTTAGTTGGAATTTTAAGCGAGTGTGGAAACAATTCTGAGTGTGAAAATTATTAGGTTGCAGTAAGTAATGGTGTGAGTTAACATATACTGTCAGTTTTTCAGCAAGCGTCCCCTAAACTTGACCCACTCCAACAATCTTCCCACGGCTATGCAAGCACCAATTTGCTCCTCTACTCATTCCGCAGTCCTACACACCGCGAAGCTTCATCAAGACAATCAAGTCCCACTGCTGCTTACACTTGATTGGTTGGCTTTTGTCCTCTCCAAAGTGTTCAGAGTGCGTGATAGGTTAGCCATCTGTCTGTCCAGGCTAGAAGTGTTCCGCGACTGGACAGTTATGGTTCCAGCACCTGGTTGGACGACTCGACTTCGCTCCAAACTGGTGGAAGTGCGTGATTGGACAGTCCTTTCTCCCGTCGATGTATTAACAGAGCGTAACTGGTTGGCTCTCCCTCTGTCCAAACTGTTAACAGTGTTTAATTGGCTGCTCCTGCCCCCGTGCTCCAGAGTCCCAGGACCGCCTGATTGGTTAGCCCTCCCTGTCTGCTGATTGTTCAGGGTTTGCAGTTGGCTGGTCCTGTCTCTCTCAGGGAGTTTGGGCTGCGTGGAGCTACTTCTGTCTGTGTTAATAGTTTGTATCCTCTGTCTTTCCCTCTCCAGGCTGGTATCCCTGCGTACAAGTCCGCTCCTCTCTCTCTCCAGGCTGCTCTGGATCTCCGCTCTCCTGGCCAGGGCCTCTCTCAGCTGGGTGCGGAAGGTCTCGATCTTCCCCTGCAGGTCCTGGAGCTCCCCCTCCCACATGCTGGTTTGAGCCGCCCGGCTCCCCAGGGGGGCCAGCATCAAGCCTGAGGAAGCCAGCGCAGAGACAGGGCCCCCGTTAGCATGGAGGCTAATCTGTGGAGGGGAGGCAAGACTCCCCAGGGTGCCCAGCCCCCACCCTCCTAAGCCGAGGCCGGGACGGCCAACCATACCGGGCCTGCCTCGCACCGAGGCGGTGTGTGTGCGCAGGCGGTAGCTGTGAAGGGTCTCCAGGTCAAAGTGCACACGTTTCTCCTTGGGCTCATGGGACGGTGAGGAGTTACAGGTGTCTCCAGCTGTAGTGGAAGCAGGAAGGGATGTGGGAGGGGAGGGGGGAGGAGGGTGATGCTGCTTCCTGTGTAGGGTGCAGTTCTCTGAGATACAAGAGGAGGGGCTAGTGAAAGAGAGGAAGATCACAGCAAAGGGTATACATCCAGTGAGATATACTGTACAGCAGAATGCATGGAAACATTTTCCTAAAAGCAAACACGACATACACCGATCAGCCAAAACATTAATACCACTGGTGGGTGAAGTGAATAACACTGATCACCTTGTTACAGTGCAATGTTCTGCTGAGAAACCTTGGGTCCTGGCATTCATGTGGATGATACCTGATGTGCTCCACCCACTGAACAATAGCACTTGTCGATTGCAGTGGCAAATACTGCTCAGGCGTGACCCGAGAAATGGGACAAAGAGCTCAAGGTGTTGACCTGGCCTCGAAATACCCTAGATCCCAATCTGATCGAACATTTGAGGGACGTGTTGGTACCCCAGAGCTACCCCCAATCCACGCTGGGTCCTTCTTGGTACGGACTTGGCTCTGACCTGTGAAGGCATGGACACAGGACCTCTGGGGGTGTCCTATAGTGTCTGGCACCAATGCGTTGGGTTCAGATCTTTTGGGTCCTGTGGGTTGTGAGGTGGGGTAACAGCATGTCCCACAGATGTTTGATCAGACTGGGATTTGGGGAATTTGGAGGCCAGGTCATGCCTTGAGGTCTCTGTCATGTTCCACAGGTCATTCCTGAGCAGTTTTAGTGGTGTGGCATGGTGCATTGTCCTGCTGGGGGCCAATGCGACTGGGGATTAGTGCTGTCATAAGAGGGTGTACCTGGTCTGCGCTGGTGTTTAGGTGGGTGGAGCGCACACATGGATATCAGAACTCAAGGTTTCCCAACAGAACATTGCATTGTAACAAGATGATCAATGTTGCTCACCTCACCTGTCTGTGGTTTTGTTTCGGCTGATCGATGTATACACTTTTTATATCAGGTGCAGACTATATAGCACTATCTGACTTGATGTTAATACCACTTACTTTGTGTTGATAAGAATATCTGTTCTGTCATGTCTTTTTAAGATCTATCACGAGGCTGTCACTCCAAAAAATGTGTTTTGCTGTCAAGTGATACAAGTGCACAATATCTGCAAGTGTGGCTGTTTCATTCTATCTCTAATACAAATTGGCTTGTTGCAACAAAATACTCTTGACATTTTAAGAAATATGCTTATTGGCCGTCTTGCAGAGAGGTAGATGAGAAAGTCGATAACAGCCTGTACACTAAATATTAAGACGTCAGCAGCTGAGAACGGATTAAACAAGCAAGATATAATGTGTTAATTAGAAAGCTTAAGCAGAGCTGGTAGGCAGATTATATTACCTTTCAACAGAGCCAGGCTAGCTGTTTCCCCCCTCTTTCCAGTCTTTATGGTAAGATAAGTTACCCGGCTGGTGGCTGTATATTTACTGTACAGACATGACAATGCAACCTAACTAACTTTCAACAAGAAAGAAACTATTTCTTTAAGAATTTTGGTATATTAGGAGGTTTTTCTTTGAAAGAAGACAGAATGAGGCAGATTTTGTGACATTTGATTCTAGAAAACTCTTAAACAACTTGTTACCAGATATAAATAGTGTAACTTGTATAAATGTAAAAATTCTGAACAAAGTACTGATACATTTGAACTAGCTTATTCTTAGAATTTTTTGTTTGCTCAAAAAATGGGAACATATGAGCAGACATACTGGTTTTAATCTGCCCGTAGGAAGAATGAACGTGCAAGTTTATCCATCCTTGAATTAAAGGTCTACTGTGTAGGATTTAGTGGCATCTAATGGTGAGGTTGCAGATTGCAACCAACTGAAACTTCTCTCATGTGCCAAACATGTAGGAAAACCACAGTGCCCGCCACAAAAATGTGAATGGCTCTATCTTGATCCAGTGTTTGGTTTGTCCATTCTGGACAACTGTTGAGCAACATGGCGGCTCCGTCCAAGAGGACCCTCTTCATTTGTAGATATAAATGGCTCATTCTGAAACCCAGTGCAGACCAATGATTCATGACGAGACAAAACTGTTTTAGAACGTTGCAGAGAAAAGTTGCAGCGGTGTGAACTGGCCATGTGAGCTCGATTTAAGCCGGCTGATGGTGTCACCTGCAACCCAACTGGTCAAATCACTGGCGGCTGGTTTTAGAACATAAATTATATCACCTGTTTTAGCAGCCAGTCGGCTTGTAGTGAAGTCTGCTGGTCAAATCAAAATAACCTTAGAGGGCATGTTCCCTTGCTGCCTCAGGTACTCTGTCCCCGCTGAGCCCTCTGTTTCACAGTGTGCAGGTGAGGTCATTGCTGCTGTTCGCTGTGTGTGCTTATGCCCACTCACACACACACACACACACACACACACATTCTCATTGACTGATTATTTGGTGCTGGTTGTTTATATCATTGTGGCGTATTTATTGTGAATACAGTCCATCTGATGCTTATTTTGTTTGTTTATTGCTGTTTCATCACTGTAACAAATGCAGCTGTAGCCAGTATCTCACTATCACTATCCTCATTCATACTTTAAGAAGCTACAAATTATATTCAGCCACAAAATAAGCCTGAAAAGCTGGAAATCAGAACAGAAGTACAGAGAGTTGTTGCATAGAGATGATACACCATCTCATCTAGTTGCATTGGTGTGAACCGGCAGGCTTTTAGAACGTTGCAGAGCGGTGAGTTGCAAGTAGCTTGCCGGTTCAACTTGTCTTGTCACTAATATTTGGTCTGAACTGGGCTTAAGGTAACGAAAACATGATTTGTATTTTCAGGTGATTAGAAACTAATTAAAACATCGTTATAAATCTTATGTTCTATCTCTGCCAGTTTATTCCTCTAAATCCTACACACTGGACCTTGCTATTTCCCTGTCTACTTTTCTCTCTTCAGATCATGTCATGTAAAATAGCTTCACTCTGACTTACTCACATGTGTGTATCTCACTCACTTGAGTTGCAATGCTCATCGAAATGCTTGGATTTTATTGGCTGAGTAGCATCAAATGAGATGATTTAATGCATGCAACTGGTCTGTGGGTATCCTGGTCACTAAACCAGTGGTACAAATGCTGCATTGGTTAAAATAGAAACACTGTCAAAATTTAATAATTCTCAATCATTTAGCTGTAATGGGTCTGGGTTGGGATAGGACGGCATCTGGGTCCAGACCCAGACCCATGGACAATCGAGAAGGATGGCAGGTTAACAAGCAGGACGCCTTTCGGTCATTATCCCCCCATATTCCCCCTCTTTGCCCACTGATTATCCTGGATGTTTCAAATGAAACATGACACCAAAACGTGTGAATGCAGATGAAGTCAGTTAGTGACTCCATTACTTTTGGTCGAGGTCGGTCAGCTCCTTCCCGACATCCTCATACGTGGTGTGGAGGGCTCTGTGGATTTTCTGCAAGAAGAGAAAAAAGACAAAATATAAGAACTGCTGATTCGTACAGCCCTGTCTCCTAGAAATTACGTTCATATCCAACTAATTTGACACAGCAAATGCTGGAAATGGGGAAAATTTAATGCCAAGCAAATTACGTTCTCTATTAAGGTAATGAGGAAGTGTTGCTAATGAACGTACCTCACAAGTTGCAAAAATGTTGATACTTAAAGAGTCAGCACAATGTTCACTGATTTGTTCCAAAATCATCTTGCAACACACTGACTACAACATTATTTTTTTTATTATCCATCCATCTATCCATTTTCAACCGCCTATCCGAAGCTGGGTCATGTGGGCAGCAGGCCGAGCAAAGCACCCCAGACGTCCCTCTCCCCAGCAACACTTTCCAGCTCCTCCTGGGGGACCCCAAGGCGTTCCCAGGCCAGACGAGATATGTAATCCCTCCAGCATGTTCTGGGTCTGCCCTTGGGCCTCCTACCAGTTGGACATGCCTAGAACACCTCTAACAGGAGGCACCCAGGAGGCATCCTGATCAGATGCCCGAACCACCTCAACTGACCCCTTTCGACGTGAAGGAGCAGCGGCTCTACTCCAAGCTCTCTCCGGATGTCTGAGCTCCTCACCCTATCCACGACCTTATACTTTCGGTCACTACCCCAAGGCTCATGACCATAGGTGAGCCCTGCGATGTAGATGGACCAGTAAATCGAAAGCTTTGCCTTCCAGCTCAGCTCCCTCTTCACCATTAGTTCCAGCACAGCGCCCGCATCACTGCAGACGCTCTTTCCCTAACCTTAACCGAAGTGCTTCTGTTGCCTAAACCTGATCCAAGGTAGAAGTCTAGACCTGAACCCATGATTCTGGTGTCACTTTGTATGTCCGCCATCCAACCCGAACACCTCCCTGCGAATCCAGCGTGACACATAAATGTAGTGTTTTGTTAACTTGAATAAACATTGTCTCTGAACATAATCCAGGCAGTGATTATGTTGTCACCACAGCATGATCGCGAATGCAATTTAGTGATGGACAAAAGTAATTTCTGGGAGACAGGGTTGGCTTTGTAATGTGAAATTTGTTGTCACTTCATCAGCTCTGAAATAAATCAAGGGGAATAATGACTTGGAATTTCAAAGAGACATTATTCTACCCAGTTGTGCAGAACATCTGTGACAGCCATTCTTCACAAATCCTGCTGTGGTGCTCCTCTGAATAATTTAATTAAGTGATTGTAAATTCAGTGAGAGACAGCGCTTAAAATTTTAACAGAGGTTAAGGTATCAGTTGCTTGAGCTCATTTTGATTTAGGTACCAAAGTGCTTTAGTTAGACTGGAAGAAAAAATCTCCAAACCAGCCTCTTAAGTTGTAAAGTACGACTCTGCTTTAATTCCTCCTGATTTATAAACGTCTTAAGATATCCAAGGGAAAGGGAGACTTTCACTCTGGGTAGGATTATCTTGAGGGACCAACTCAGATGTCATCCTCTCAGATAACGGTGAGGTTTGTGATGAATGCTAAAGGCTGCCCGGGAGTGGTTGCCCTTTTAGAGAGATGCAGCAAACAAATGCGAGCAGTCTTGATATCCATTATTCACTCAAAAATATCGCCACAGGCACCTCATTTGGTAATGGCTAGACTTCCATAAAAAACAAAATATGACCTTTAAATCCCCAATTTGTGGTTCCTTTGGTGTATGTTGTCATAAACACACCAATTCTCCAACAGTGCTTCAGAAAGAAAAAGCTTCTACCAATCTCTTTTATTCCTTTTCTTTGTATCCTCTTCTTCACAAAATAACATATGAATTGCAAGTTCAATAAAATATATTTCAAAATTGTTTTGCACAGGGTAGAAATCAATAGACAGAGCAGACAGAGTTTGAACAATAAGATAAATCAGCTGTCTCAAAGGAGGAAAAAGCGAAACAAACAAAGGCACAGATGCATATTGTGTGCTGGTCATGAACCATTTAATAAAGTGCTGCCTATGGGAACGGTTTAATAACTTTTTACTTAATTAACTAATCAATTTCAAATATTGAGGTAACTTTATAGAGCACAATTAAGTAATTAACTAGCTAATCAACAGTTTTTTTAGTAGTTAATTAGCAATACATTTACCCAGTTGCACTTTAGCTCGGTATAGGTCATGAAACTACTTTTTGATGGTCTCTGTTTCGTCTTGGACACGACTGTATATTTTACTTGGTTCTGTCTAAGTCTGAGACAAAGAGGACTTGTATTTCAAGGCAGATCAAAACCACAGCTGCAGGGATATCACTAAATTGCCTATCAAAGAAGGAGTGTTCATGAAAGAAAGTTAATTTGATTTTAGCTCCGTAGTTGCTTAAAGAAAACAAAGGAAGTTTCATGCATAAAATTCACCTCTGCAATGCTTTTTGATTGTCTCATCAAGACATTTCTCATGGTACACTTGTATATACTGTAAATACACATCTACCGTAAAACTTCAATTAATAGCCCGGGCTACTATTTGCTTAAAACACTGGAATCAACAGGCCTATATTTGGGACAGGTCTTTAAATCCTTTCACACAAAACTGTTGCTCGGCAAAGCTGGGAAATACAACCAAATGATTTATTTAAGCCAGAATGAATATTACTTGTTTAAAAATTAGGCTTCAGATAACACATCAATTATGAATCATTTATTTGATCTAGAGAAAGAGTTACAGCACTGAAGGATTACAGCACCAGGCACACCGACACAACTTTATCCTTTTAAAACAAAATTCACAACTTGGATTCATTTTGTATGAAAAACCCTTTTGATTCTTCTGATCTGAGGAGCATTACGGACTAAAGGAATATGAATAACTTACAGGGTAATCAAGGAATGGACACGTAATTTGAGGTAGCAAACAAACAGCTTTTATGCGTCCGAAGAACGCATAAAAGAAATGAACTGCTTTGCAGCCAGACCAGGCGTCTAATTGAGGGATAGGAGCTGGGTGTTTAATTGAAGTTTTACAGTATTTCAACACAGGTGCGTAGGAGAGGGACGAACAGGACACACTTTGCAGACAAACTCCCGTCCACTGATTTGCAAAAGATATAAATCTATTGCGACTTTTCTGTGACGAGTTTTGCCTGATGAGGGTCTAGTTACCAAAACCTTGAAGTAAATGTATTTCTTTTGCAAGTTAGACAGTGTACGAGACTTTGTCTGCACACATATATACAGTCTGGCAATAAAAGAGGCGAATGAAGACCAATCGTCATTTGTTTTCTGGAGGCGTTTTCATGGAACTCTGGATCTTTTAGATCAGTTAGAGGAGTGCCTGTGGTTTGCATGTACCATATTTTGTTGTAATTGTGTCAGGTAGTGTGGGACTCGCACTGGTTTGATCTTGGGCTGCGTTCAGACTGCAGGCGAATCTGATTCAAATCTGATTCCTTCTCAAATCCGATTTTTGACTTCTAACTGTCCACACTGTTTTTAGCAAGTGTCCAAATCGGATTTGGCTCTGTTCAGACTGGGCAACATTATTGACCAATCTGACAGGTTGCTGTGACAACGACGTCGGAGCGGAGGCGTCATCTAGCGTGTACTGTGTGAAGTCTTAAAAGGAGCTGTTCAGACTCAGACACATCTGTCCAAATGCGATTTGAAACTACCTCCCAAAGGTTGTTTCGATCTGGTTTGCAAAAATCGAATTTCATGTCACTTATGACTGTTCAGACTTCATAAGAGCCATCTGGTTCCAATCTAGATTGGCTAAAAATCTGATTTTGGCTTGCAGTCTGAACAAGGCCTTGGTCTTGTGTCGGTCTCGATAGATTCTGGTCTTGGTCATGACTTGGTATTGGTTTAAATTGTAGTCTTGACTATAACATGGCGGCTAGAGATCAGTGGTCCGATCCCCAGCTCCTCCAGCCCCCATGTCAAAGTATCCTGGAGCAAAATACTGAACCCCAAATTGCTCCCGATGGCAGTGCCATCTGTTTGAGTGTAGTGTGCAGGGTACCTCGTACAGTAGCCTCGTTCACCAGTGTGTAAATGTGTGTGTGAATGGGTAAATGTGACTGGTAGTGTAAAAAGCGCTTCGAGTGGTCGGAAGACTAAAGAGCCGCTGTGCAGGTCCATCCATTTACCATTTAACACTGCATTCATCTTCAAGTTGTTTGTACTAGTGCTCCTCTTGACTGTTATTATATGTGTCCAACAGTAGAGGGCGTAGGGTACCTGCAAAATAAGAGTTAACTCCAGGGGGTAAGGAGGTCTCACCAACAGCAGTGTGCTGGTGTGTGTGAGTCAGTGTGACTGCTCTCATATGTGTGCTCACACACATGTGAGTAATGCGATGATTAGTTTTCTTTTTTTTTGCCTGTGACTGTGTGTGAGAGTGTGTGCGTGTACCTGTGCAGTGGGCTCTTACTCACCTGGCTGGTGTGCAGCCAGTACTGCAGCGTGTGCGTGCGTCGCAGGCGAGGGATAACCAGGTGATAGAAGGTGTGTTCACCTGCCAAGGTCAGCAAGGCTCCACCCACCCCCATGCACAGCAGCACAAACAGGCCTGAAAAATGCTGGATCCCCATCTGTAGAGTCTGAGGGGGCGATGGCGGAAAGCGAAAGGGAGAGACAGGGAGGGAGGGGTTGGGGGAGTGACACAGATTAGTAAAGACTTAAGCCGACACAGAGCAAAATACAGAGATTGATGATTTGTATTTACATAATTACAATTTAGGCCACTTTTTGTGAATAAGCAATTGATATTCTGCTGTTGTGTATCTAGTTTGTCTGCGTAAGCCCATAAGAATAGAAATAAAGAGGAGAGGGCAACAGCGTAAAAGACATGTTTGGAAAGAAAAGGATGCAGTGAAAAGGAAAAGAATAAAGAGCTGAGGGGGAAGCAAAACTGAGAGTAATAGAAAGCAACAGCAGTTAGAAGGGAGACGGTATGAAGACACAACTGTTAATTGAAGAGCAGTTTGTTCCCATTTGGTTCGCCCACATTCCCCCTGACATAATGCCTATCTCTTATGAAGCTTTCATGGGCCCGGAGGAAGTGGAAGAGACAGTGGCGAGCTTTTCGAATACTCTCTAATCACGTCGCCTTTGCCCGGCTCATTCCTGCGTCGCCTCCGATGGCAATTAGCCCCATGCTGACTTGACAAATTCATCAGCGACAACACCGACCTCCTTTTGCTCCCAATCCAGAGGGCGAGATCACACTATCACCCACATTGTTTGAGAGTAGCCCACTCTCTAGGCTTCGGCTGGGATGAATAGTAATAACTTCCTGATGCAGGGTGAAGTTGGGGTTTTCATTTCACTGGAGAAACCTATGACTGTGTAATTGCGTTTGTTGCTATAATATGATTCAACTTTGAAGTGGGATTTAAAAGGGATGGCCAAAGGGAGTTGAATAGCTTCTCTATTCACAAACAAGAGATATAGATACAGACAGTGCGCTCTGTCTAGAGATCCCCAGCTTTTTAAAAAAGAGGGAAAAGAAGAGCGGGAGGGGCGAGAACTGAGAGTTCTCTGCTGTAGCACATATAAGACACAAATAAGTATCGACACTCAGACAGTACGTGCCTGTAACTCTGGTTAAGGTCAGTAAATAGGCCTGAGTTTACGTGATTGTATGTCTTTGTCTCTGTGTATACGTTTGTCTCCGTGTGCCCGTCAGCGTATGTGTGCTTAGCTGGCAGGCAATCCTGTCTGCGTCCCAAAGAGAGACTCATTTATAGGAGTACAGCGGCAGAAGGCTTTGCTTTACACACTGTACACGTACACAATACATGAACACACTCCCGCCAATGACTTACCTCAGTGACTGCAAAGACTCGCTTCCCACAGGGCACCACCTTATACCATTTGTCATGTAGCATGTCCATGAAGCCGTCAGACTTGTAGCGACTCACGAACTCTGACACATTGCGGGTTAGAGGAGAGCCCTGGGGCAGGCCTATACCGTAGCCTGAAAGAGGACAGACAGAAACACACACACAGGTGTAAATACATATGCTACTTGTAACAGAATCTGAAAGCCATGCCTGAGGAAAAGACTAGAAACTAGGATCTGACTTGGTGTTGATGCGGAGGAAACCACAGTCAGCCAGTTGTGGTTAGCCAAAGGGCAGATGCCCTCTAGAAAAATTTATTTTATTTAAAACATTTATGGGTTTACAGGCTTCAGTTAGAATTAGAATCAACACTGTGTCCACCTGCTACAGTGCATATGCAGTGCAAATACTCTGTCCTGGTATTTTCCTGCTGTAGCCTATTTGTTTAGAGGGAAACAAAGCACAAAACCACTAAAGCTGATGGAGGTTTCCCTGGTGGCACAGACTACATAGTGTAGTGGATCAAATCCTGGTATTGAGCTGTCTCTTCCTCCGTTTATCTCTTCCATGCTTGCAGCTTGAGAAGCTTCTCACGACAAAAAAGGAGACGTCTCTAATGCCAGGATGAGACAAGAGGACAAATGTTAGCCTGCCGTCTTTTATGATCTGCGAGACTGATTTGGTATCAGGCCAGTGCTGTCTTTATTAAGTGGATCAGGTATTGGCCAGATGTGACCCATCCATATTAAGTACACTTCCTTTGTCATTGTCATAAAAATTCTGTGTTCCCGCTATCAGCTACATTTATTTAGTCACAACAGGCTGCCACCTTCGCAGCAATCCCTGGCCTCATGTACCCTTCTTAAAAAATGAGTCCATGCAGGGAGGTTTCCAAATCTTTAAAGCTGTTAAATAGAGAGCACTGGTATCTGATCGCTACCTTGAGTTGAGGAATTGGAATTGGTTATCTGGAGAAAAGGATGGATTAGAGCACGCCTCTGCTAGGGGTAGACTCCTGGGATCAGTGTCAACATCTGAGGCATTGGAAGCATCACGGAGCACGTGGTAGACGCTGTCACACTACAAGTCTTGTGAGGCATCCTACTCTCAGAGTGCTTTCACACCTGCCCTGTTTGGTTCGGTTCAATCAAACTCAAGTTCCTTTGCCCCCTAAGTGCGGTTCGTTTGGGCAGGTGTGAACTCAGCAATCACACTCAGGTGTGCACCAAAACAACCGGACCTTCTTGAAGAGGTGATCTCTGTCTGGTTACACTCTGGTGCGTTTGTGGTGAGTGTGGTGTTCCGACCTCAAGCTGAACTAACTGCAGTCACATGACACATTGTTTGGGTTAAACATGAGCATGTTTCAGTCCTGGAGGATTATTAATGTGCACCTCCTCCTGTACTGTCTTAATATGCACATTCAGCACATCCAATGCATCAAAACATTGTTTTCTAGTTGGAGCCGCGCCTCGTTTTCAAACTGTATGGTTTGACTAAAATGAACAATGACAGCAATATAGTCCACGATGAGCAGCGCTAAAATCAACCTGCGTAGTTGTCCCTCCATTGTGACAATAGAAAGTGTCACATTTATTTTGCAAGTGTACTCTTCTTCAACGTTTTGTTCACTTCCTGGATTTTTCCCACATGGAAATTCTGACCAATCAAGAGCAGCTTTCTCACACAAGGCATTTGATCTGGTCTGCTTGTAAATGCTGCCGTGAGAACACGAACCAACTCTAGGCAATTATACAACTTTATAACAAAATTAGTTCCTGATTCGGACCAAAGCAAGACAACTCTATGTCTGAAAGCAGCCTTAGGCCCAATCCCATTTCATATTTGTACCCCTACCCCTTGTTTTTGAGTGTCAACATGCCCCTCTGAACGGAGTTACAAGGGGTAGTGGTTGAAAACCTCCCCTATGAAATGGGACAACCCTTCAAGACCCTGATACGTCATCGGTATACTGGCGTGTATGTAAACAGATGCGAGTGTTGCCAGTGGAAATATGCTACCCTCTGCACTGATTTCTCTTGCGTGGGCTGCAGACAGCCTTTTGCAGTTGTCAGGACATGATCCGTCACCATCAACCGAACAAACAAGCAATCAATTTAAAAAGAACAGTGCTTCATCATCAGGTCACTAGCGGTGCAGTGGAGGCTAAAGTTAGCAACCGTGCTCCTGCAACTTTGCTACTTGACTTCAGTTAAATTTAAGGCGTCATATGCCATCAAAGGTGGAGAATATGACAGAAATATGTCAGAATGCGGGGCTGTAATGCACAAATCGGTAATAACAATGCAACAGCAGCTAACGTTAGCTAGCTCCCAAGACATTGGCATACTGGCGATTTCTTTGTGCTGCTTGGATAAGGACCATAATACATTGAAAAAACATTAAACTAAGATAATACAAGGGTTATCATTATTTTTAAATCTTCATTAATGAAGAAAATACATTTGATTTCTCATAACACTGGGTTTGGAGTGTGCCTCCGAAAAGCCTCCTTTTGGAGGGCCCTTACACTTCACCCCACCCCTCTATCCCAACAAAAATCAGGACACCCTTCTGCTAAATGTGAAAACACATAACAGAAGGGTAAGGGCGAGCAGCGTACTGGGATTGGGATTTATTGCAGCTATACGCACTATTTTTCAATCCATTTGAGATAACAGAATGCCTAAAGATCTGCCCATCATTTGGGGAAAACATGTTAGTTGCCAAGAAAGAAAAATCATCCTGTAGAGTCTACATCTTATTGTATCCAATTGTTCTCCAACTGCTTTTATCATTCTGAAATAATAACACAACAAAAGTTGAGGATGACTAATTTTCACTCCTGCCACCTAAAAAGATCCAAAACTCTAAGACTAACTCAATTATACTAAATTTCTTTAGGGAATGACAAGGATTTGGGGCTTTGAAGAAAACGTTGGGGCAGGGGTGGCACGGTGGTGTAGTGGTTGGCATTGTCGCCTCACAGCAAGAGGCTCTGAATCATAAACTGATTTCTGGCAAAACTGAAAGGGCAAAATCAGTTGCTCATCGTTAAGCACATCCATCAGGTTCTCCCAGTCGCCCATTCTTCCTGGGATGCCTTAATTTTTCTCATTAATCTCCATAAACTCACCCATGTTACGGTTAAGATGGAGTCAGAGGTACTTCACTACGTTTACTTTGGTTACTAAGGTTCTTTGTGCAGCGGTTTAACAAACTTTAATCAATTCCTAAAGTATAAGAACAAGATAAGGCAACAAAATTAATCCTTGAGTAAACATTTTAAGGAGAGGACTTGGGGATGTTTTGTGCGACCAAGTTTTTGACAAGGAAACCGTAACTCGGACTTAAAGGAAAATCTTAACTTAAGGTGCTTTGGGCAACCAGCCCCTGATATTTAGGCATTCTTTTACCTCAAATAGATGGAAAAATACTGCGTATAGCTGCCATGAATTGAAAAAAAAAAGTTCACGTCTAGGGGTAGGGTGTTCTTCCTGTGTCAGCGTGGCTTTTCTCCGGGTGCTCCAGCTTCCTCCCACAGTCCAAAGACGTGCAGGTTAATTGGTGACTCTAAATTGTCTGCAGGTGTGAGTGTGAGTGTGAATGGTTGTCTGTCTCTATGTGTCAGCCCTGTGATAGTCTGGTGACCTGTACAGGGTGTACCTAGGACCCTACAATACCAGAGTGACGACACTTCCATTGACTCCTGTGGTATGCTGAAGTTAAGCCTCACGCGCCCTCTAGTGGGGCATGAGGGCATTACCTTTATGACCAGAAAACCCATTCACTTACAGTATGCCTGACGCGCACTTGCTTGTAAGTTGATGAAAACGGCGGTGTCGTGGTCATATTAAGTCATGCTTATAATTTGTTTATTTCAAAATGTAGAGAGTAACATTATGGTAGAAACTGTTTTTTTTTTTTTTTTAACGGATGCTCCTATTATGGAAGATTATGGTAGATTATGCTTTTAGGTTTGCTAGACTTTGGAAACGCACAAGAATTCCTGGTTGGCAGCAATGTAGTCTGAGTGGGCGGAAGTTGGTACATAGATCAGCCTCTCATTGGGCGGAACGAGCCACCTGCTGAAGTCCCGCCCTACCACCTCTGGTTGTGTAGCAGTTTTCAACCGTTTTCAACACGTCCTTTACGAACTTTTGCGGTGTTTGATGTAGCCATTTTTCTGCCATGGTTCGCGTCCTGTAGGCTATATTTTTGTGGGAGTGTTACACCAAAACCTGTTTCCCCCCGGCAATATTTCTGCAAGCGCACCGTTGCTGTGACAACGCCCAGAACGATTGTGATTGGCTGAAAGAATTACAAGCAGCCGGGGCGTTTTTTTCTCCAATCTTAAAGTGAGAGACGGCCCAGCCAGACCTTTCTTTTCTTGAGAAAGGTCTGGTGAGCGAGACTAGCAGCAATGCAGCAATACTGAAGTTCAGTCAGTCCGCCACTAGAGGGCACGTGACCAATGTGTGTCGCTACTCTGGTATTATAGGGTCCTAGGTGTACCCTGCCTCTCGCCCAGTGTCAGCTGGGATAGGCTCCAGCCCCCCTGCGACCCTTAACAGGATAAGTGGCTACAGAAAATGAATGAATGAATGAATTTGGGACAGGAGCCCCAAAAGCCATCGCCCATTCTGCTCCTGGACTAGCGTTGTCCTACAATATGACCCATTTAACAAGATAAAATGACAAACTGTTGAGCCCAATGCTCACTCCCATTCCCAGTATCCCACACCCATTAGACTTTCTGGCTGACATCAAGTCGTCTGATCTGGGGCTTGTAGTGGGATCAAGCCTGTCTCAATGCCCTCCAGACTCTTCTCAGAGAAAAGGGTGCAAAGACGCTCATATTTTCCTTGACTGTACCTCTTACAGGCAGCTATGTTCCCTTGGGTTCTGCTCTCACATGGCTGTGGTCACCCTGAGGTGATTTATTAGTGTGTATAAATCACTTCAGTGTAAATGAAAACACGATGCGGGAGGAGCTGGTTCAACATCACCATGTGTGTTATGAGAGGTGAGACAAAATTCGGGCGAAGCAATCTATTTTTTATGTTATGTAACATTGTAATTTCTAGGAGATGGTTTCCTTAAATTAGTCTTTTCACACCTGTACACAATACCC